GTACTTACATGTACGATTTGCGTTGATTTATTCTAGATTTATCCAAAGAGCCATTTCAATGAGAAATTGATATGAGTCGTGATCCAATTAAAAATTTATTCAACGAAATTTGCTTTGAGTTCAAATAATTAGAATCACTATCTTCCTGACATGCATAAATTGAAGAATTAAAAAAATTATTATTTGGTGTTTGAAGATGAAAAGAATTATCCTTAACAAAAGACAGATTATTTGGAAAATCATTTAGAGGCAGTACGACGATTTTGCTTTAAATTAATTTTTTTTCCAAATTGCTTCATCTTGAATGTTTTTTATAAGAATGATTTTCTTTGCTTTATCTGTTTTTCCCAATCGAAAGCCACAAGTTCTTAATACATTTTGAATATAAGGATAAAAAAATGAAAAAAATCTGCTTTTTCATTGAATAAAGAATGTCTTGCTATTTTGCATAGATCTTCGGATAAATCTAGATATACAATTTTAATAATACAATAAATATTTCTTATAAACCGAATTCGATAATTATAATTCGAATATGTTCAATAAATAATAAATAAACTATATTATATTAAAATAATAAATAAGCTTACTATATATACTCTCTATTTTAATTTTTAAGTAAAATCTATTTTGAATTTTGTTTAATAAGTTTTATTACAATATTTTACAAGTTTACAATTTTAATTTTAACATGTGTTCTTTTCATAATAACTAAAATTGTTTTTTTTTAATCTCAAGATAATTATTCGTTTATAATATTATGAATGAAATATTATTAATTTTTTAAATAAAACAAATATTTTTAATCACTTCTTGTGGTTTACCGTGTTATATAATGTTATTAATGTATTATATAATGATAAAATTATAACGTAGAGAACAATTTTCACAAGAAGTTAAATTTTCTAAATTTTTTCAAATATTATATGCTGTGTCATATGACAGCTAGAAGGTAAGTTTGTTAAAATTAAAAATATATTCATCTTCAGTAATTTATTTATTAGAAAGTATGTATGTACATATGTAATAGAAATTCGACAATTAAAATTATGTACATAATTTTCAATTCTTAATTGCGAGCTGCATAACACTAAATAGAATATGAAATTAATTTACTGAATGTATTTTTTTCAATTTTATTTTGCAAAGTGGAATCTGGTGAAATAAATGAATTTGTATTCTAGGGAATTTTAATACACGAAAGAACCGGAAATGGAATACTATTGGTAAACTTGACGGATAAGTTGACGTTTTCGTCGTAAGAGAGAGCTGCTATGAGAAACATCATCCTTTTCTTTTCATCATGGCGGTGAGTGCGAGTTCTTTGCGTCAAAAATGCTTATTTTCTTCCGATTGTATCTGTTACATCGTTCAATTCCGTTAATTATCATCTCGACACAGAAGTAGCTGATGGTATTAATAAATCGTTGCTAATATTCATTTTTGTACGAAGGCGACGATATTGTAGAAGTTATCGCTGACAGGTGGATGTGATCGCACGCTTGTTTTCGATCGAACATCGGCTCGTATATGACCTATTGTTACTGCTATTCAACTTATTTAACAATAAATTTCTTCATTAATTTATTCCATTATCGGCAAAATTTTCACATAATTAATATTGATTCTATTTCATTCAGACACATCAATGATTTACTGAAATATACGTTTTATATCGATATTAAACGGAAGAATAAACTAGTTCACGACCAATAACATAAATTTCATATGCAATAAACTTTACATTTTTTACTTGTAGGATGTAGTAAAGAAAGTATCCGAAAAGAAGTCCGAGAAAAGGACCAACAAAAAGGCGAAGAAGGAGCCGAAGGATGCGTCGAAGAATGTAATGCGCGAAGTACGAATTCGCAAGCTCTGCTTGAACATTTGCGTAGGAGAATCTGGTGATAGACTGACCCGAGCTGCTAAGGTGAGTTTGTATAAATTCATGTCATTTCTTATTTTAATTGAAATATTTTTACGAAATTAAAAGAAATAAATATTGTAGGCCAACTAAACGAGCTCGTTTAGTTGGCCTACAATATTTATTTCTTTTAATTTTGTTAATTTATACGAGCCTTTCATCAATTAATTGAAATATCTTTGATACATAAATCTTTAATGCATTCAATTATTAAAATTAGTTTTTCTTGCTTAGGTCTTGGAGCAGCTGACTGGCCAACAACCCGTGTTCTCTAAAGCCAGATACACAGTTCGTTCCTTCGGCATTCGTCGTAATGAAAAAATAGCTGTGCATTGTACTGTACGTGGTGCAAAAGCTGAAGAGATTCTTGAACGTGGTCTGAAGGTAAATCAAGGATTTTTATATCTATATTCTTTTTGTTTATATTGAGATTTTAGTATTAGTATTTATTTTGTATTATATTTTAAAAATATTTATTATTAGTGTTTTATATTTTAATATTATTATTTGATTACAGGTGCGTGAATATGAATTAAAAAAAGAAAATTTCTCTGGCACCGGAAACTTTGGTTTTGGCATTCAAGAACATATTGATCTGGGAATCAAATACGATCCTAGTATTGGTATCTATGGTTTAGACTTTTACGTTGTTCTTGGACGTCCAGGTTAGCAATTAATACAACTTTAAATACTTTAAATATTGAACATTAGCACATTATTTGGTATCATATAGATATCTCTGCTTCGTATGTGATGTCTATAATTATATTAAACATGTGCTAAAGGAAACGCTTCATATTTGCAACTCATATCCACTTCACTTTACTGGGTGTGTTACTTAATTGAAGCTACACTTAAATAATAAAATATTTACATAAAATTATTAAAAAAAAATAAAGTTTTATATGCTTCATATACAAATTATAAATTATTGAATTTATATTTGATTTGTAGGATTTAATGTAGCACATAGACGAAGGAAAACTGGTAAAGTCGGTTTCCAACACAGACTTACCAAAGAAGACGCAATGAAATGGTTCCAACAGAAATATGATGGTATCATTATAGCTGGCAAAAAATAATATGCATACTTTGTATTTTACGATTGTATCATAAAACATTTTAACAAAAATCACTTTTTGCGTAGTAATATAAACGCCTCATATTACACCTTAATTATACCTTTAAATTACCCAAGATTCTATATATATAATTATTTAGTAAGTTCGTGTAGTTTTGAAAAAATGAGTAATTGTATATATTAATATATATTTAAATTTTTATTTGAATTTTTCACATTTGTTTACAATACAATCAAAACACTGATAAATGCAGAGCTAAATTAAGAAGATATAATAGTTTCTCACTGCAATGTATAAAAATAAGGAACAAGAATAAAAATATAGATTTATTGCACTGTACGTAAATTTAAAACACAAAAAAACATGTATCGGAATAAAATCGCATTTTTTTAATTCCTATTTAAAAAAATGTGAAGTGCTATTCTAACATTTTAAGACATCTCTTGCAGTGTCATATATTTTTCAATGGAATGACATTGGAGTTTTATTATAATCAAACTTACTTAGGCCTGAAAATCGTAACACTTGCAAAAGGAACTTTATTATAAAATGAATATTATATACAACAAAGATTTTTCAGAATTAGAAATATGACTGCTTACATTTTATATAAAATCAAATTTCTTAATGTAATTTCTTGGACGTTTTGATATAATATGACCGGCAATATTTCTGTTTCTCGATTTATAAAACATTTAGTGTAGGAGAATGTAGCTTCAAGAAGCAATTTATGTGGTATGAATATTCACACTTCTATTATTGGCACCTCAGATACAGATAGTTTTTTTAAAGCTAATTATGTCAAAATTAGAAAAATTCTAGCTCTAGAGAAATTTTTATTTTTATTTACAGGCTAATATCAAAAATTGAATGAATAAAAATAAAAATTATTTGTATTTGATTTGACAATATGTTAAAAACACCAAGAGAGAATTTCAACTATGAAGAAAACTTGAAGTCAAATAATGGTGCCACAAATATAAATTATAATCACAATCAGATATTCACGTATAATAATTGACCGACTGTTCGACTTCTCTTTGGTTTTAATTTAAATAGGTACATGAAAATATCTTGTAAAAGAAATGAATAATTGTAATTACAACAAGCTATTAGGAATTGTGCTTATTGAGTCATTTACTATAATAGTTGCACTTGAATATCTTTTTACGAGATCTACTTAACTTGAAGTTACAAGCAGATAAAAAGGCAAGATATATCCTTCAGTCTCCATATTGTTACCTTATCTGGACGTCATATCACCAGACTTTGATATATATAAGTATATACAGAATAGTCCGGAGTTACTGTACATACAAATACGTACTTTTATATACATAATTTCTTTAATTATTTTAACCCTTTATGGTCTAAAGTTAGAATATTCCCAAACAAAGCTCTTTGTACCAAGCGACTCGAGACTGCAAAGGATTAAAATCATTTTGCATATAATTGAAAGTTTGAAGAATGGACAGAAACTCCGATTCATTCTGAATATATATGTACTTGTATATAGATATATATATATATATATATTCATTTTATTTATAACAAGTAAATATATAAATAAATTTATTTATCTATGTTCTTTCGGGGATCACGACGTAATAACGAGAAAGATATATAATATTCAACTTTCGTACTCGTACATGGGCACATGCATTTCAAATAATTATATAAATTTTTGAAATCCGACTTCAAACTCTTTCTTAGTCATTTCGTTCATCCGTATCACAAACTTCTTGCTCAATTTTGGAATACTTATTATGATATACACAATGCGTTAATTATATCATTGAAAGAGTAAAACGTGATTTTAGCAATAACTAGACAATATATTTTCTTTCAAGTATATTATTAGAATATGCATGCTTACGCACTAGTTTAGAGCATGTAAATCGCACGAGTGATACGTGTAATATTAAATTTGTAATACATGGCCATTGCAGAGCATTGATGTTACATACAGCCATAAATAAATTCAGTCTATCAAAGCCGCATATGTGTATGTAATTTGTAACGTTTGTAAAATCTTAGGACTTTAGTATATATTAAAAAATAAAAGCAATTTAGTTTGTCCGAAATTGTCAGCTAACACATAAAAATATAACATATATGTGTGCGAAAAAGTTATAAAATATAACAAAATTGTTATATACTTAAAAATTTCCCGAATATTTTTGATTTATATTTGCTTGATATCATATCAAGTGCTGTTTTTCTTTAGATATTTTAATTGTAACATAAAAAATAAGAAAATATTAGGGTATATCTATGAAAAAAATCTGTATAAACTTGACACTTGAATTTTACAAATTCGAAAGAGTGAAATTGTCATTATAAAAACATAATTTACTTTTATAAATTAATAAATTAAATTACTTTTGCTATGAAAGAATATATAAATAAATTTTCACGATTAATTTTTTTCTTTCATTTTACTAATTAAAAATACCCTCAAGAAATAAATAAATAAGTTAATACAGATCTTTCTCAAACACACATACTAAAATGTTTATGTTAAAAATTTGATTTGTCAATAAACTAAATAAAACTCGTTTAGGTGTTAAACCTGGTAATGTAACACCACTTGTCAACAGCGATAATATTGCTTAATATTGAAGAATTTTAAAAAGCGCTACTTCCTCGCCGATCGATAGAGCTTATCGATGTTATGTTTCTCTGCGTCCGTGAAGCCCAGGATACTTTCAATAGCATTTAAGTGACCGTGATGATTCTCCTTATCCGTTAGAAAATAATAGATCGCTGATTTTAGGAACTGCAGGGTAATTTCTGGATCGAGAGAACCCTGACTGCTTTTCGCCTCTACAATACGCCGATACATTGCCTAATTGAAACAGAATGACATACTTGTTAAATAATGAAATTAAAATATCGTGACATGTAAAGAAACACATTGAAAATATATAACTGTTTATACGTATAATTATGTTCTGAATCAATTTTGAATCCAGACACATTCGTACTTTCCATTTTCAAAAATATCCAGAGATCTCGATTAATAATACGCGTTTACTATACAATATAATAATCAAAAGTTACGCATGTGTCTCAATTTTCACATCAAAAAGCATAACGACACCATTTAAAATGTCAATTGGAATCAAAATCATTCGTTCGAACTTAAAGATAGTACACATCTTATACGCAGTGGAAGCGTGCATTGGCCATAAGCACGTGCAAACTTACATTGACCGAAGGTATAAGAAGGCTGTTTCTTCCAGGTGCACTGGATAATATCGCCCGATCTAAGAGCAACCAGTATAAGAGTATAAACCATCTACATTTGTGCCTCATAATCCACATGCAATTGTTGCAGCGAAGCATTCACTAACGCGATTGTAAAAGAAAGAGAGATACGAGCGCAATTGTGTTCTTTTCCACACGCCCATATCAAGAACTGACTCGTCAACTTGTGTGTAAGATACATTCGTGAAGTTAAATCGCTTATAAATAAGCGATGATAATTCTGGGATAATATTTGTATTTCTTAACAAGTTAAACAATAATATAAGCCATTAAAAACAGTCAATAATAATTATTAACTATACTATTGCTGTACTTTTAATTAATTTTATTTGTTTTCAAAACTTCTTAAGAATTTTTATAAGAAATTTATATAAGATGGGGACGCATTACGTTTATGGAACATCAGTTCTTGATATAATAAATAAATAAATAATAGATACACTGATAAAAGATCGGTGCATATTATAGGTATAAAGAAAGGCTACATATATGGGCGATAAGAAGTAGATGAGAATTGCGTCACGTGGCAATCGAATTAAGATACAGACCTTACGTGTGCCAAGGACCCAAAGAGAAACAGCCTCCTGAGCGCTTAATAAACTTTGGCAATGTTCGGCTGAAATGTGAGGTTCAGGCGAGTAGCTTGTGTCCTGGATTGTGAGCGGCGACCAAAAAAAGTGGCATATCGTTAGTACAAGAGTATTGTGAACTACGAGGATGCTCGAAATGTGATGTATCACGCCTTATAAGTGTGTGATAAATATAAAAAAAAATGAATAAACGATGCGTTTCTGAGAAACGTATGTAAAAGCTGATTAAACTACATAAAAAAAATACGTTCGAGAATCAATTAGGCGTGTTATTGTGTTAGCATGATTAAGATCGCGAGAAAATCTCGCTCCTCTTTCGCAAATGTGAGAAAATCGATATGATCATTACGCGAGTTTCGGTTGTTATACTTTAAGTAGAAAACGCACATCTATTACAAAAAAGATTATGCTAATGATTAAGCGAGAGAAAATGCAAATGTCAAACTAATAAGGAACTCATTGTAGTGCAAATGTATGCAAATGTTGCGATGCATCATGAAAGCTCGTTAATGACAAACGAAAACGATGAAAAATCTCGCTGAAAGAAATTGTCTTGATAATAATTCATGTCTAAAACGTTTAATTCTGCATGTTTCAAGTTAATGCCAATTTTTAAAATAATCCCACAGAATATAAGAATAAAATTTTGACCAAACCGCAACCACCGTTATGTTATCCTACTATATTTGTCAAATTTGAAGAATAGTTTAAAATGGCAAATAAAAATCACCTATTACCTTAATATTTTCTAATTCAGCTTGCGTGACGGTTAGCTGTTGAAGAAGTTCCGCGACGGTGACTTTAGGCGGTGATTGATGCGCTTGCACGAATATCTGTTCACGAAAGTTGATAAAAAAATATTCAAATAATGTTAAACTTTTATTTTTCATATATAATATCCTCGATATTTCATGTCATACCTGATCAGCTTGTTCAATGCGCGCGGCTTCTTGACCTTTGGCATACATTTTCAGGTACATTTGCTTATTTCTTTCCTCCTGCTCGTTCAAGAGCTCTTTCTGTTCACTAAGCTCAGTTTTCACAGCCTCCAATTCCGCTTCTAATTCACGCGCATGAGCCTCCGCGATATCCAAGGCTGGTCGCATTTCGCAATAACGTGTGTTCACATCAGACAATTGATTCAGCAAACTTTCCACCTGGGTAATAAATTTTTTATCAATACCAGGTAAAATTGCATATGCTTTTTTTTAAATTCATGCGAAAAAAATGAGAAAAAAAATATTTACCAATCGAAGAATTACCTTTACCTTGTCATTGTGCTTCTGCTTGACATCCTGCAGCTCGTCAACGTGCCGCCTATGCATATCTTCGATTCTATTCTCGTAATGACTAACCAATCGACGTCTCTCCTCGTCTCGCTCGATGCTCGTCGGCGTTATAGAAATCGTATCGGGAACAATATCACTAGATTGTACTACATTAGTCGGTCTGATCTCCGGCTGCGGCTCAGGCAAGCATACAGAGTCTTTCGAATGGACGGAACCATCTTCAAAGTGTCCGGAATCGGCCAACGATGGGGCAAGATCCGTGTGTAAACGCTTCTCCGGCGTTTCCGGGCTGGTGACGGCTTTTTCCGCGACGCTCTCATCCGGAAGATCCTTGCTCGGTGATTCTGGCGAGAAGGGATTGTTCTCACGCACGGTGAGGGCGTCGCTGCTGTCCGTTCGTTCATCCGGACTGTTCAGAGACGCCTTGTACAGTCTCAATTCCACCACCTCCTTCGTCAAACGCAACAGCTCTCGGTCCTTCTCCTCGATCTCCTTACGCGCCTCTTTCAACAGAGCCTATATAAAGACATATCGATCAAGATAAGAAGTACAAACAGTTCATTTTTAAATTAGCTTAATTTTAATCATAGATTTGACATTAATGAAAGATTTATGAAAATTATAGTCCTCAAGAATCAAATAAAATATTATTAATCTAAAGAGATACATCTTGTATTACGCTTAATATGAGCAAAAACTAATGAAGTAGCGTATATATAATCAGCGAAATAAAAAGCGCACCGAATACAATAATTGCAAATGTATCTTACTGTTAGACCTAATTACCTGAAACCTCCTCACTTGTCTGGCCGCTCTCTGAGTAGGCGTGAGATACTGTTCGTTGTCGCCGACGTGATTCGAGCAGTGCACGACATATTTTCGCGATCGACCGGACCAGGTGGTGCCGTTCAACGCGAAGGAAGCGTGCTCGCAGGCGCTCGCCGTGCTGCAAGCGCTACTATAACTCTTCACGCTCTCAACATCGCTGTCGTCGTTGGCAATTCCTGTCGTCGATCCTCCAGAGGCCGCGTGACCTGGCCGCGGCCTCACCGGTGTCAGTGAGAGACTCTGAACGGTACAGCATTCAATTAACCGAGTCCGTTAGCGCAATTAATTTAAAAGTGGAACAGACTATGTATATATTACTATGTCTGTTCGTTTTAGCTGAGAACTGGCTGAGCTAGTTCAGAATTTATATTTTTCCTTCCAATGTCGAAAAACAGACTCCAGGTCTGTTCGTTTAAGCTGAATTGGCTGCGCTAGTTTAAAGTTTATTCTGTTCTTTCCAATGTCGAGTAAAAAAGATATCTGTGAATTAGCCAGATCAGCTAAAACGAACAAATTTACTGTTGAATGAATTTTGACAGAATACAATCATCCTGTAAAAAAAATTAGTGGCGAATTCAAAACATAAAATTTAATATAATTTGAAATTTATGAAATACATTATTAAATAAAATGTAGAGCTTTTAAAAGCATTAGCAAATTCGATCTAATTTTCGTTTGTGCTGCTCAATTATCTTCAAACTCTTTAAAGGATTAAAAAAAGAGAGAAATAAGTTAACGACTTACATACACAATTCGATTTACTAAAAGTCAATACGTGGGTGGATTTATAACGCGAGGTTCCTACCTGTTGGATTATTTCTTATATTTATACTGCTGGCTTAGGATAATGACAGACGTCCGGAATATATGTATCTGGTCACGCGAGGGAAACAGACCCGATTTATTGTGACCTACCGTGCAAATTAGTCGCGTGTTGAATCAACGGAATCTCTCTAGCCTCAAGTTACGGTCAGCGAATAAAGGTAAAGGTCTCCATACGGACTCTGACGTATAATCGCATGCAAAAGCCAGAAGATCAATTCCTTCGCGCTATAGACTTGTCGAGGTACCTTCGGCGGATCTTGGAAAAAAACGAGAGCAGCGATATTCTCTTTACTCCAACAATAAGTATATGCATTCTATTGCACTGTGCAAAGGACAAAAGGCGGAATATATCGAATGTTTAGAATAAAATATTCAGTGCACGTTTACTTGCGCGTCGAACAAAGTGCGCAGATCGGTCTCGAGAAACGTTGTTCAATTTGGAACTCGAATTGAATGATCATCATCATCATCATCATTTGTGCCTCTTCTAGTCTATCTCATTTTTTTCTCGCGAGAATCATCGCCGCGTCGCCTATTGTGAAATCTAACTTGGAGAGGAGTCCGTCTAAGGTCTACGATCAAGGGTGACCGATCCACGTCTAGTGTGCGACGATATTTTGCCAGCGTTTCCAGATTTGAGATCTTCTAAGCAGCGGGATGGTACTCACGAGGGATCGTTGTCGCGGCGAGTCGGTTCCATTCTCCGTGATGACCGGAAAGATACGATGATCCGGATGCTGATGCTGCTGCGACGACTGCAGGAGGTGGTTCTGACGACGGTGATGGTGTTGATGGCCGATCAGGGCTGCGGTGGTGGTGGCTCGCGGATGATGTGGTGGTAGTTTCCGTTCGCCGCGCAAGCGCAGACTCGCGGCCCGACGCAGAGCCGACGGCGATGGCCTCGGTATACGGGAGTCCAGCGACGACGGCGGCGAGGTGGCAGCTACTCCACATGCGTGATCATTTTATTAATTATTAAGACACGGAAAATGAAACTTGTGGCGTTCGCGCGAGGGCGATTGTCGCGGAGGAAGGCTTTGCTACTTCGAGATCGAATATTATGCAATAAAAACTCTCTATAAGAAATGCATTTCAGAAATTTGAGAAATTAAACCATTTTTCAATTATGTAAAATAGATTCCTTTTTTACAAGAAATGTAGGTCGGAATGAAACTGAACCACAATGAAATCGGAATGCATTAATTATGTGTCAACGAATTTTTTACCTCTATTCTCTATGTACTTGTGATTTATAAAGGTATACGGTAGATTTTAATTAACGTATTCAAAGCCGCACTCCGAAATTAAAAATTAAATTTTTAATTTAAATCTTCTAATGGCGGGACTTTTGTTCATCATTGTACAATTGATAAATGATTACGATGATAACTTCCTGAATATACAATTGTAGATTTTTAATTTATAAAAGTAGTAAAAATTGAAAAGAAATTTCTAAATCTTCTCGAAATCATTTTAGCCTTTATTACATAAATTATTTTGTAGGATTATTTAAAAACACATATGTTACATTAGATATAAATGAAAAAATAATGAGTTCTTATGAGATAAATAATTGAAATGTAGATTTGTATACACATAATTTAAATTGCGAAAATATTAGTATTGATAGTAAAATAAATTGGAGAAAATGACTTCTCATAATTTCAGAAATTAAATAAAAAATAATAATAATTAAAAATTGTCGAAATTTAAAACATCTATTAAATGTGAAATCGAGACATTTTTTCGAGATTAATCTTCAATCGCGTCAATTAAAAAAGTTGAAAAGTTTTCACGGACTTTCACTTTTCTATTGACTTACTAGGACTGTCAGGTGACCCGTCAGTTGGCACGTGGATAGAACTGGTAGTGACCTTGGTCAGGGTGATAGAGCACGTTGTTGTTGTCGGCGTCGTTGGAGACGTCGGGGCGGCAGCGTAAGTTGAGTGACCTGGATGCATCGGTTGCAGGGAATTCAGGGATCTCTCGCTGCCGTAACGAGCCATGTTCTCCATCGAGTTTACCTCCAGGTCATCACACGACGACTGCCACCTGATTACAGCACGCGTTCCAAATTGCCGAGATTACAAAGAAATATTTCTTTCACAAACGTTTAATGATTTTCCTTATCGGAGTGTCTTATCGGAGATAATATTTGCACTCGACTCTGATATGTGTATATAGAATGAAGTATCGCTTTTATTACCAGAACTTCAACCGAATAACAAAACCCAAAAAATGAATACAACAGTTGTAAATCATGATTTAAACAAAGTAGTTAAAATTTACCGTCCGCAAAACTTTTCTGATTTTAATCTCCGTTTAAAAAGATTATTGTGTTGAGAAAACGACATTGCCTTTGTGACGCATCGTCGTTATTTTTCGGCAAACATCTTATTTTCTCAGAAATGCTCGTTCAAACGACAATTCTTCGGCAAGTAAGAAAGAGATGTATGTATTAGCCGAGGTCGAGGACGTATCGATTGAACGAAGGCGTCGTCGTACGCTGAACCTAGGTCAGTTTTGTCTCCCCGAAACCATTGTTCCTTATTTTCAGCACGATATTTTCTTGGACGAGAACTTGGACTAGTCTCAACTCGTCCAAGATCTCGTCAAGATTCATTTCCTCTCGCGACGCGATTTAATTTTATCTCAGTTCCAAATCGCGGAATATATTGCATTACAATCCGTTGTGTCAAAAATTATTTCGGAATCGAGAGAAAATTTTTCTTCAATATAAAAATACATATACACAGTAGGAAAATTTGTGTCTTCTTGTGTTAAAAACGATCTCCGTGAAAATGTTTGTGTTAAATATTTATTTAACACATTCCTGTGTTAATTTAACATATTATTGCTGTTAATTGAACTTGAATGTTAAATTATCAAAACAACCGAAAAAAATGTAAAAATAACACAATGTGCATCTATTTTTAATTTTACATAATACATATGTTCTGTTTTATTAGTGACAAGATTTATTTGGGGATGATAAAATCTAAAAAATTAACATATTCTTAGTTAATTTTTATATTAAAACTATGTTATAATTTTACACGAAATTTATTTTAAATTATTTGAAATTTTGCATTTATTTTATGTTAAAATATGAACTCAATATTTGTGTCTCCATTTAACATATCCATATTATATTAAATGAACACAAACATTTCTGTGGACCATTTGCGACATGTGAGATATCTGTTAAATTTAACACAAATTTTTCAACTGTGTAGAATTTCAGAAAATAAATTAATCGAAGTCTGTTTCTCATATATAGAGACGTTAAATTCTGTTTATTTTATACATATTGCTTTTTTTAGTTTGCAATTACATTAATGCAACGTCTCGCAAATAAATCTAAGAATCTGACGCATTTTTCACGGATATCCACAAAGTGGTGCGACCTCGATCATTATTCGCACAATTATCGAGCGCTTTAAAGCGTGCCGTATGCGGTTGTTAACTTCGCGTGTATTTCGTCCTTGTAAATACGCGGAAGCCGGATACGAACCGTAATTTTGTGGCGCACCTTGGAATGAATACGTAGAATTGCATAAAAAGATTTCAAAGCGAAATTGTAGGTCCCCAAACACACCTTGACACTTCGATCCTTCGAACGATACAAAAAAAGAATCGTAAAACAAGCATACAGAAGGCGAAATTACGACATGCAATTACGATATACGATATGCAATTTTCACGAATGCATATATATATATATATATATATATATATATATAAATAAAAAACATTTAAGCAGATAGAGATTATATAAATTGTGAAATAAGAAGAATAATAATTACTTTAAATTGCTGTAAATTATTGCAAATTATATACATTCTGTCAAAAAAAAAAGAAAAAACAGAAGAAAATAAGGCTCAAAAAATTGTTTTTATCATGCGATTTGAATTATACGAATTTTACGTTTTCACATATTTAAAAATTTTTATAATATAAAAAATTAGAAAAACAAGCTCTTTACAAATTGTAGATTAAAACTCCAAATAAGTGTGATTAATTAAAAATCATGCAAAGTATAATATGGTCTTCAAATTACAACAAGAAATTACAATTATTTTTACACATAACTGTACTTTATATATAATAAATATACAACTATTCAGATAAATATAACAAAGAATATAAATTCATCTATTTATTTCATTATATATTTCAAAAATTCCTATCTGCTATTCCAAACTATTTTCCAAATATCTTCCAAAAAAATACATTTACTTCTTTTTTTAATATAAATTTTTTTTTAATTTTACAAAATTTCAACATTCGGAAGATTTATGTAAAATACTCGATAATTTCAACAGCGTCGAGCTTACGAAATCGCTTAGAATGCGGAATCTCATTCCTTCAGATAATCGTAATTTAAGGTCGACGTGATCGTAACAAAGTGATAGCGAGAAAACAGTCGAAATAAAGTGAATGGCGCGACGAATGAAACTGTGCGGCCTTTATCGAAATAAAATAATCGATCGCGTCCACGTTCTATTTCAAGGATTATGCTGCGGCTTTTATGCAGCGTTTACACGCCGACGAATCACAGCGGTACGATTTCACGTCAATAAAAGAGAGATCCGATATAGTTCTTATATAAATATTTTCACATAAATGACATTTAGAAAATGCGTAAAATTATATTTATTTTTCTTTACTGATTACTCTGTAAAAATTACATGGAAATTTATAGTTTATTGTTAGTAATTCGTGGTTTAATAGAGAAATCCCTGTTAATTTTATATATCTGATAAATGTATCTCCATTCATTCCACAATACTACAGTACAAGTTTTTCACATACAGAAAAATTTTAAACAAAGAGAAGAGATGATTTATTTCTTAATTTATTTCTTCAAGAAACGAATCCATATATTTTTGCCACGTATGAATTGCGTTTAACGGGTCGACTATTACGGAAACCTAGAGAGCGACACGTTACATAACACAAAAATAATTATATGTCAACTAGGGGAATAGAGATTCGCCAATTTATTTTATAAGAGAAGTGAGGATGAGTTAATATTTGCACTACGCAAAATCAGATACGTATAATTATCAAAATGATAATACATTTTTATTCGAAGCTTTCGTCTCAAATATATAGATATACTTTATAAACGACAAATTCTGTACGTTGGTCGCGTATTTTTTAATGCGATTCGCGATATTTCGCGATAAGAGATACTGCATTCATTATTTTTTTGCCGCGTTATGTTAAACCTTCTGAACTCGAAATAGATATCAAAAGCGCGATGGAAGGAAAAAAAGAAAAGCTGACGATCAAAAGAAATACAGAAGATTGAAAAAAAAAACAGACTTATTGTCGATTTAGCGTGAATTTGTTTTTTAATTCTTCACTGCATGACATTCGAAAAAAATTTCGCGGTGTCTACACTTTCTCTCTTTTTCCCTCCCTCTTGAACAAACATACTGTATACGTAACATATGCATCTAATCAGAGATCCAAAGCTTGAAAGAGGCTCTGGAAAATCGCGGGCACTCACCTCGGTGAAAAACATCGATGCAGGAAAAAAACCAGTAATTCTTCGTCAAGAGCTCGAGCTCCTCGAAGGATGCACTTAACCAGAACGATAGCGTCCACCACTGGTCGAAGTGAACGGATGAATGATCCGCCTGACGAACGTCTTTCCTCGGGCAGCCACTGTTAGCTGTGAACGGGCCACGTGGGCTGTCAGCTGTCACACGGCTCGTGTCAGTTCCCGTCAGTCGGCGAGGCCCGCCGTCCGTCACTCTCACGAGTTTCACTCGCACGAGAACGTCGCGAACGCTTCGTCGAGGCGGAAATTCATACGCGAAGAACCGGCTAGAGAGAGATAGAGAAAGAGAGAGAGACGACGTTGCGCTCCAGGCGCCGTGACGCGAATCCCCGCACGTGACGTTAGCGACGATTCATCAACGTCCCTCACGCAGCTAGATCGCTCGATCTAAATTCGGACGGACTGCACGTGACATCTGCCGATCGCGAAACGAACACTCGATCGGCCGTCTTTTTTTGTACATGATATAGACGATATTTTTTTGCAATGACATCGAGGTTTCTTTACATCTACCCTTCCGGGAATATATTCGCGGTTTGACGGCGAAACTCTTTGTTTATCACGCGCGCCTCGATTTCAGTACCACGTATCGATGTGGAAATATTCCTCTTCTGTTAATTAATTACTCACGGACGATGATTTTTGGAAATTCACGCACAGCGCGAGACGCTCTCGAGGATCACGTGTGTGGGTTCTAATTCTAACGATAGCGTTCGTAAAATGATAGGTTGTGCGATGGAGATTGTCTGTGATTGGTGATTTAGATCTACCAATCAGACTCGTGCCTTGAAATTGTTGTTTTCTGAACACAGCTGATTTTAGTACCATCCGTTCTCGTTAGTAAATTTCGCGTTTCGATTTGTTGAGATTGGTTAAGCTGATTGCGTAATCGTAAAATGAATTGTAAACATGGCTGCTTCCTTGATCAGGACGTGTTCGGAGTTCAGGTATTTATTTTTCCCTCTGGAGAGACGATGTCATGATGATGAAAATTACATCTTCAAAGATTCGCTGCGAAATCTATTCAATACAAGTGAACATTGTGAGAAAATACAAGTTTCTTTAAAAATTAAAAACCTAACCTACTTAATTTTATATACACATATATTATAAGTCAGTTTAAATTTGTCCCCTTTTTCAGAAATATAAAAAATTGAGATGCAATAATTTGTATAAATTACATGCTAAATTCCAGATAAAAAGTACATATTTTATACAATAATTTTATATTATAATTTGCAGTTTCCTGAGACAACAACTTTGCGAAATTGTCAGAAGTGATAATGCAAGGAAATACATCTTGCCCACTTTGTTTCTCACATGCACACAATGTCAGCATTATCATACGACACCGCAATATTTCAAGAAGAAAGAGAAACTAAAGGTAGGTCTTGAATTTTTTTCTATATGCATAACTACTTAATTTTTTTTTAATGTATACACACACACATATGTATATACTGTATTAAAGTAATATATGTCTATAGGATCAAAATAGTTTCAAGCAGTTGAAACCAAAAAAGAAATTGCCAATTGTGGATGTATGGAACAGAATGACAGTATCAGAGCTGGCAATATCTGCTAATAGGGACATAGATGATATTTTTGAAGCAATTTTTATGTCCGATCCAGTTAGAAGTTACAATGAAAATACAGCTATAGAAGATAAGAATGTACTGTACAGCGTTGTACGGAAACTTGGAGCAAAATTTAGGATCATTTCTAAGCCGGATAACAAAGCAGAAAAAGACACAAAGGATTATGATGCCGTTAAACGGTATTGAATAATAAAATTAGAGTGGAATTAATTTATTGTAGGATAAAAGAATAGTTTGTATTATTTATATCTTATTTATCAGGCCTGCACCAGATAAATCTGTGCTGCTAAAACGTCATCCAGTAGTAACAATTATGGGTCATGTTGATCATGGCAAAACTACATTGCTAGATACGTTACATAACACATCTATTGTGGAAACAGAATTTGGTGGTATTACTCAACATATTGGAGCCTTCAATGGTAAATATGATTTTGTTGGTTATTAAATTTGTTATGTATTATATGTAATATAATTATTAATTATATTACATAATAAATTTTCACAACTTTATTTTTATTATGTAATCGACAGTAACGTTGAAAACGGGAGAAAGTGTTACATTTTTGGATACTCCTGGACACGCTGCATTTAATCTTATGCGAATGAGAGGCGCACAGGTAACCGACATCGTGGTACTAGTTGTGGCAGCCGATGATGGTGTGATGGAACAAACCATAGAGAGTATACAAATGGCGAAGGCCGCTAATGTTCCAATTATTGTGGCTATCAACAAAATCGATAAGCCCGAGGCCGATATTGTAAGTTATTGTCGATTGATATAGGAACAAGAAGCAAAGTAATATAATAATAATTTTTTAATAATAAATATAATTTGTAATGCTTATTTCAGGTGAGAACACAAAATATGCTTGCGCAACAAGGAATTCTAGTAGAGGCCTTAGGTGGGGACATTCAAAGCATTAATATTTCGGCGTTAAAGGGAACAAACATAGATACTCTGACAGAGGCTATAGCGTTACAAGCCGAGATCATGGAATTAAAGGGTGATCCGACAGGACTAGTTGAAGCTGTCATAATCGAATGTTCTACCGATCTTTATCGCGGCAAATTAGCGACAGCTTTAATTCAACGCGGCACTCTAAGGAAGGGCGCGTTTCTTGGTAAGAACCAGGATGTTTCAATTCAAGAAAGAGTAGTATTGAAGGCAGAAAAAAGTGTAAGAAAAAAAATTCTATCGAAAAAAAGAATGAAATATTCTCAAGAACAAATTTTTTTGTTCTTTCTTTTTTTACTTTCTAATATACTTTAAGACAAATTTAGGACTGATAATGTGTGAAACATTCTATAATCTTGAGTATATAACATTCGAAATTTTATAATATATGTAATACATATGTTTATTTTTTTATTCAACAATAGTAAGTGGATTAGCATGGGCTAAGGTGAGATCCATGTTCGATCATTCCGGAAATCCAATTACGGAAGCTAAGTTGTCCGAGGCGGTGCAAATTATTGGCTGGAAAGTTTTACCCGTTGCTGGAGATGAGGTATTAGAAGTCGACAACGAGAAGAGAGTAAATATGGTAATACGATATAGGGAAGCACAAAAAGCTGCGCAACTGGCGGAGGAGCATAAGATTGCAGCGGACAAGAAGCACGAAGAACATCTAAAAGTAAGTTTTTATAATTTCTATAAAATTATATTATAACAAGGACATCGTTATTTATTTTATTATCTGATTGTAGGAATATTTGGTACTTCGTGAAAAAAGAAGAGCGATCGGAAGATATTCAAAGTTATCAAGTCCTATTAAAGTAGAGAAACCCGATGACAGAATACCTATAGTCAATGTTATCGTAAAGGGCGATGTCGCTGGCTCCGTAGAAGCTATATTAGACGTTTTTAGTACGTACGGAAGCGACGACAAGTGTCGATTAAGCGTTGTTCATTACGGCGTCGGACCTGTTACAGAGACAGATTTACAAGTAGCAGACGCGTTCGGTGGTAAGAGTATACAATATTTCGTGAAGAATTGATTGATATTTCTTCTATAAATCTCAACATCATATGAAATCTTTATAGCTATCATATACCCTTTTAATGTGGGCATTATGAAAGACTTGAAAGAAGAAATTGAGAAAAAAAAGATATCGATTCGTCCATACAATGTGATATATAAACTTATTGACGATATTAAGAAGGAAATAAATACTAAACTACCACCGCTCGACATCGAAGAAGTGATAGGTACGAGAGAAGCATTAGTAATCGTAAATTATCGTAAATGTTTATTTTGATTGTTCGATCTTTCTGTAGGCGAAGCGAATGTATTACAAGAGTTTGAGGTCACAGAGAAGAAGAAAAAAGTGAAGGTCGCGGGCTGTCGATGTGTCAAAGGCAACTTGAAAAAAGATGCTATGTATCGATTAATACGTGAACAGGAGGTTCTTTATACCGGTAAGAAACAATACTAAAAATTATAAGAGACAGCGAAGAAAAGATAAATAGATAAATATTACTTATATATTTTTTAGGGAAATTGGTATCAATGAGACATTTGAAAACTGAAACAGAAAGTGTCAAGACTAATGTAGAATGCGGTTTGAGATTCGAAGATTCCACATTGTCTTTTAAAACTGGAGACGTTCTAGTTTGTTATCAGATAGGCCAGGAACCGCAAGAGACTGATTGGGATCCTGGATTTTAAGCAATTCTAAAAATCATAAAGCTAAATCAGATAAAACGTGATCACAAACTCCCGCATTTATCGCCTTGCTTATTCATTATGAGGATGATGGAGATATTTTTTAAATTAAGTACAAATTTTTATTTATTATTGCCTGAGAGAATCGCAATCTTTCTTTCACATTGTTTTTACATCTTTTGAACGTACAGTCTATATCGTAATTTCGCTTCGTGGGAGAAATATATCAAATTCTTGAATACATATTGTGAAATTAAGACGAATATATATGTGTATACACACACACATATATAAAGCGCTATACCGTTAAAATTCGTCAGGACTAAAAGTACGAATCTTGTCTATACTTACGTTAAGTGGAATGAACATTATGCGCGTTTTTTAAACATTTTTTTTCTTTCATCATATGTATCAAATGATATGCAGGAAGACACATAATTGGTCAAATTTTAAAAAAACGTAACCTGCAAGCTTAATCTTAATTTCACTGTTCGTTAAATCAAATCTTTTCTGAATCTCCGCGAAGTTTTAACTTTGTTCCAGCGATCCTGCAAAAATTTACTTCGATTGTGGATCGGCAATATAGATCATCTCAATAGGATAAACGAGAAATCGCGTGGAGTCTATTAAGACGCGTAAGTTTCGCGAAATCGTCGTTGAAGATGCTGATACGCCGTGAGAACGCTGCGCTTCTTCTTTTGGAGACGACAAGGAATCGTTTCCTGGCTGGTTGTGGTGATCTTTGTTTCTAACGGTTCGATGGGAACGTTGTCGTCCGGATGTACGAAGAAGGCGATGGAATGACGACCGCGGCCGCAATGTTCCGGCATAACAACGCGATGTCTAAGCGCTGGAAGTTGCTGATTAGTCCAATGTGCCAGTAGTTCGCCAGTATTCACCAAAATAGCGCCTGGAAGATGGCCTACTCTGACCCATCGTTCCCCATGTGGAGTTTGTATTTCAAGGCCGCCTTCGCAATCCTTGAAAAGTTTTATTGTAAAAAATTAATTATTAGGCGTAAATCAATGATGTTAATTCGCAGCAAGTTGTATATATATATATACATACATATATGTATATGCTGTATATAATATAATGTTACTTTTATATTGACTCGATATTTGATATTTCTTAATCGCAGTCTTTATAATATACATATACTGCATATGAGTCACGTATGCAAAAAACTGTTTAAATATTTAAAAATTATGCGTTATCTTTTAACACGCACGTGCCTGATACGTCTTTTCCTCTCCAGAATATTTTCATATTTTAACGGCGTAGAGCCGCTTATCACAAAGTGAACTACGAACGAACGAACGTGCCGAGATATGTATCTCTGTCAGTTTTGTCGAAATTATAAAGATACGTAGAATTTACGACACTTTAGAGCGTAAGGTGCCGTGTGTAAGGAATATTTTCTAGAATATGATTTACGACCGTGTAATCGTCTCTTTTTAACTATGAAATGACTAGGTGTCGAGCTTCAAGCGTGCTTCAATATGCTGCAATCTGCATACTTGCGCCAACAAAGTGAAAGTGCCATAGTCGCAATGGGCGCCGCATCGGGTTAGTCCTTGTACCGGCGCACCGAGTGGCGGATAGTAGAGGAGACGTAGGGTGGACCCGTTGTCAGGGCCGAGCATATGCGCGTGCTTGGACAGCAGGAAGTCGTGGGACTGTTCCAAGCCCACAGACAGAGCCTGCAAATGCGAAAATTTTCAACGTACAGATTAGATTTTATTTATCGACGCGCGAGTCATGAAATCCTTGAGAATTACAATGTACTTCCGTTCAAAGGTCAAGAGCGCGGAACGCACGGTTCTTCGTCGACCGCGAAAAAAAATGGAATGATAGCGATAAAGCAGAGAAATATTTCTCTAGAAAAGATAAAATAAGAGAGTGAATCCAAGAACATTAAATTTATGACGAGATATAAAATTCACGGGAATAGATGAAATATAATTCAAGTAACGAATTCAGGGATATATTAAATTTACGAGAGAACGAAATATAATATGACAAGATGAGGTAAATAATTATTACAGTAAGAAGCATGGAGGCCAATTGTTTGAAATCGCGTGCCAGTTCCTCTACAGCTGATCTAAATCCATGAACATCTTCCTCCGGCAGGGTTTGTTCACATCCGGTTAAATTGAATGCATGGCGAAATTCCATCTCATCTGTAAATCTAATCACGTAAAATAATTAATTGGATTTAAATACAAAAAGGAATGTATATACTTGTGAAAACTTGTATGAAAGAGAACATGTATAAATTATAAAAAGAAATCTAAAAACACATATACATTAAAAAATATTTTAAAATACAGATAACATTAAATATATACCCTAATTTTATTTTTTATTATGCTTACATCTATCGAATAATTTATATTTCAGTAGCGTATAGTTATAACAATTCTAAACATTTTTAAGATTTTTATTATAAATTAAATTCAAAATGATATATATTCTTTCTCGTATACATACTATTATATCGTCGGATTTCAAATTGCATTTGACTACTAGAACGTTCATCACAAACAGAATTATAGTGAATTACGAGAATAATTTGAAAATACAATCTCCCAACTTACTTCTCCATGCCTGGTTTAACATAGCCGTGATTATCCGGCGAAACGCGCTCGTATTTTGCTCGGGTTTCGTCCGGTAGCTCGCAAAATGTATCTAGGGCTCTGTAAGCTGCCTTCATCTGTAAATATATGGAACATAGAATTTTAACAAAGTTTTAGCGAAGCGAGGAAGAATGAAGTTTTTTTTGTGCGCCTTTTCAAGTGCTCTATAGAAAATGCAACGCAAAAATATGGATATTTACGTGATGATAAGGAAACCTTGCCTTCAACAAAAATTATGATTCTCCGAGAGAATGAAGATTCGCATATCTCATATATCTCGACATTCATAATTCGCATTTTTCACATTTCGAATTACACGCATTCGAGTATTGTGTAACATGTGGAAGTTGTAAAGATATATCTAGATAATTCCAGTAATACTCGATAATAAACAATTTTATCAATGACGAAAGAGATATATATTTTACCTAATTTTCGTCGGTCAATCAGGAATAAACTGCCCAGAAAAAAAATATCGCGTTGTTGAAGAAACATTTTCGTGAAAAAAATATATCGCGCAAGTCTCTTAATTTGCCACATGCTTCTCTGTCATTACAATTGTACAAACATTTAGTATAGAAATAATTGGCAGGAATTAATATATCTGTAAACAGAGTTATGTTTTTAATCTTAATTTTTTCACAGAATAATTGTATCTTTATTTTAATTGAATAAAATTGCGAATTAATATTCTCTCAATAAAAATTTGATTAGATCTCTCACTTTAATTATGTTATTACAATTTTCAAATATTAAATACATATATGTACATACGTTATATACAGATTGTAAAATTCTGCATTAAAACAGAAAATTATTAATTAGTAAATATATTTAAACTGCCTTATTAAACCATTTATTTGAAACAAATAAATTTATCTGACAAACAAATAATCTGTTTTGAAAAAGATTTTCTTATATCAAATAAATATTTTTTTCATATCAAATCAATATTATTAGTTTCAAATAAATGATTCAAATTCAATAAAAGTTTTTTTCACAGTATACATACATCACTCTATAGCTCGATAACACTATATGTTTGCGGATAAATTACAAGGTAAATTTCGAGAAAGGAGTCTCTGAATAAGGAGACAATGATTCACACGCTGACGTATGGGTCAAATGTCACCGACGTGTGACGTCGCGACAGTTTTTCTTAGTCAGTCTTTACGAAGATGATCGAGTATATACGGGCGATGTGTATTCTAGCACCGTCGATGTTGTAATACTACGTACTTCCGTTATGTAATGTCAGAAAAGAATCACGAAGGAAAAAAACCGAGAATGATCTTCTAATTCCGCGAAATAATCGCATATTGTTGCATGCACGAGCGATGCATGTGTCGTGTGTTTGTGTGTATTGCTTATCCGCGAACTATTTCAATGCTGGAAATGAAAACCAATGTAGAACAAAATATATTATTGTCGTATGGCAAACATAGGTTTTATTCTAGCATATTTTATCGCATATTTTTTATCGCACAAACTGTCACTGAAAATCTCTTATTAATTTATCTTTTTCATCGCGAGCTATGCTGATGATTCAATGAAAATTATATCAAACATACACGATGAATCGTGCTCTTTAAATTTTTTGGAGCGAAAACTGAACAATCTCATTCCAAAAGAGTGGAATTCCACTCTTTTGGAATGCGATTGTTCAGTTTTCATTCCAAGAAATTTAAAGAATGTGATTATTTTTAGATAATTTTTGGTCAATCTTAGAGCTCAAAAATGATACAGTATGAAACACAATGATATAGCAAGACATGACAAAAATCAAGATAAAACGAGATTAAGAAAATTTCTTCGTCCCTTAGAAAGATTTTTAATGAACACTTCATATTCATTAAAATAAGATTGTTTTTTACAACTAAATAATTAATTTGGTCACCAACAAAATTTAATTTTTAAATTGTGTTTCATATATTTTTAAAAAATATTAAAAACTTCACACTACTCTTATTAATATATATTTTAGGCGCAATCGATTGATAAAAATAAAAGGTTTCTAAATTAATCGAGATAGGTATATCTCGATTAATTAAATTTAATGATCTCAAAATCGTCATTACGTATACATTTACTTTACGATAAGCGCGATTATTTACGTTTTAATGAACCTTCTGGTTTACGCTGATTAGTGCTCAACGACTAAATTAAGATCTCGCACAGCTTCACATTTGCGACTCTTTTATGTAAGTATCCTTGAAAAAAAATCGTCTCTTATTTTCATTCGGTACGTATATTTGCGCCTGTTTTTCGTACACATGTTTTCCAGGCGGGAATAATAACATTATATCGACACGTAGTCCTGTTTACTCGTCAAAAGACATATGTTCCTGGTTGTAAATAATAAGTCATAAGCGAGTCGTAAGTCGGATTATTGCGCGAATAACTGTAGCACGCTGTATTTGCGATATCACTCGCAAAGTTTCCGATAGCGAGCACACAAATGGCAAGGTCATCGCGAGCAACGTATAGTATTTATCGTGGGCCCTTGAAAAGAAAAACCCCGACCATTCTCTGGTCGCAACGTACTCAAGATATCGAAGCGCGTTCGATAACAAAGAAAAAGGAAAAGGAACCGCGCGATTATCAGTGTAGAATTTTAACGTTATTTATAGAAATTTATTAATATTTAAAGAAAAATTTATTAATTATTGACATTATTGAATTCTACGGAATTACAATGACCAACGCACATTTTCTCTTACAATAAAAATAATATAATTATATATGCGCAGACAATTTAAAACTTCAGAATACACCGCTTTTATTATTTCTTATCACATTTTAGTTATTTTTGTAGATTCCAATTAAGATAAGAAGACTGTGAAAATTAGGATCAAAGTGTACATATACAATTATGTAATTTTTAATACGACCAAGAATCTGAATATTTTATAAGCGCAATTTTTCTTTCCAATTTCACTTATTATTTGAACACTGCATGAAGTTACGCCGCGAGTTTAATTGACCCACTTTCAATCGATGTGTCGAATTATTCGTCACGACAATAAATTGCGACAGCGCGTGATATCGAGCACATTCTCGTGTGATGGAAATCGGCAAGACCCGGGCAACACCCGGCGCCTGATCAATCAAAGGAAGCCTCCCCAGGCCTTAATCACTTTCGCGCGTAAAGGGAGCCCATCGTACCTTGCACTCTGGAATGCCATGATTGACGAGCAAGGCCAATCCTTTCTCGGACAGCGCCCTTAGCAGTTTCGAGGCCACCTGCTTCACGACTCCCTTCTGAGGGCATCTCTCCGTGCCTGAAATCGCAAGAAAATGCCTAGTCAATATAGCACGAGGCAAAAAAAAAGAAGCTTTTTCTTGCCGCGGTTATATTTTCCACCGATAAAAATTATTATTATACATTGACTCATTTTCGGAACTATCAGTCGATCGATCAATCAGTCTGATATTTCCTAAGAAAAAAAACAGGAAACGTCAACTTTTGTTTATTACAACATTGGTTTGATTAATTTTGTCAATTTAATACCGTTGTATGTAAATGCTTAAGGAGGCTCGGGTTTCACGGAAGATTACAAATGTGCTGATTACGTCTATTTGCGAATTAAGGAAGCGTTGGGGTATTTAGTATTAAGTTTCTCTCCTGTTTCTTCTGAGTGACACCGATATTGGATGCACTGATGATCGATTATATGCGTTTTGCTCAATGAGCGTTCATTGACGTTCAGAGACCGAGACATATCGTGATAGTAAAGTAAAAAAAACAAAACTGGCTCATCTTTCTGTCATATTTATAAATGATATTCACGCGTTATATATCCGGAATTATGAGATTAAATTAATGCGCGGTTACAATTAAACCGTGTGTAATTTTTTATATTGTACTTTTTAAAAATAAAATATTTTTAGGAATAAAATAAAAAATAAAATAGAAAAATAGAAAAAATAAAATGGAAAATACGATTGCAAATTGCATTCGCGTATCGTCATATAATGCGTGCTAAAATGCATATACATATTTACATATGCTAAGAAGTGTTTCCTCGTTTAATATGCTTACATAATTACCATTATGTATCGAAATAAATATTTTTTTCGCATGTATGCGAGAAACAATTTCAATATACTGTGTATTAACCAAAAATTGATGAAAAATAGTGCGAGGAAGTTAACGTGAAATTACTATACGTCGTGATTTTGTCCTCGATTGAAGTAAACGAAAATCAAAAATGGCTAGCGGCGCGTACACAAGCCTTGGAATCATAACGCGAGGTCATGATTCTCGAGAAAGCCATCGTCCCCGAACCTCTCGTGTCGTAACAAGATCCGTCCATGAGCGATGAGAAGAGAAATAAACTGCAGATATATACGCTGCACGCGCTTTTATCGCGCTGACGCTTATTATAAACGAATGTTTGCCCTCGGCTAGTATTCATACGGATTAACTTTTGTTTCCGGTTATGCATCCTCGGCACAATCATCCTTAAGCTCCTGCAGGCTTATTGTTAGATTAACTCTAATGCATTTATAATTCTTATTGTTAATATATTTTTTAATTGATCAATTAATTAAAATCGCATAAAGAAAGAGATGATAATTTTTTTCTAATTTATATAAATGTCGACATAGATATTCTTTTGCAGCAAAAATTTCATTTTTAACTCTGTAACGTATATAATAGTATTTTAATTTTCTTTCCTAAATAATTATTCTCTTTTATAATAATTGTAGTCTCTTTTAAATAATATTATAAATAATTAAAAAATAATTATAAATAGTTGAATAAATTGTGCAATATATTAAAAGAAAAATATCCATTTTGCGTATTTTTAATGTGAATTCAATTTTCTTTCATGCTTCTCGTTTATAGATTACTTTGCAATTATATTGTCAACGAAAATATTGTAAAGGCGATATATTTTAATAAATATTCTGACGTGCTTCGTGAACGTCAGCTGCACTCTTTTTACTTTGTTTGCTATTTTGGTGATATCGCGACGTCACGATGACGACAGAAAGTCTTCAGAGAAGACTTTCGTTTCCTGGAGGTATATGCATATATACATCAGTTACGGGCGTTCTGCCAAAATCATTTTGTGTGAAAAAGCCGACAAAGCTGACTGAAAAATCATATTAATATCGTGAAACTACAAAAAAAAACATCTATTTATAATAACGAAATCTAACGTTGAAATTTGTCCAATCTTTGAAAAATTGCAACAAGCAGTTGGTGATATTTAAATGTCTACCTACGTCTTAATCTTCTTTGTTGTGCTAAAAAAAATTTAATACGATGAAAACCAAATTGCCACGTGGTGAAAATATATATACTCGCATCGTAACAACAAAAGATTATCGGATTATTCATGATCTATACTGGGGATACGATTCAAAGAATTATCTTGATACTTTATTTGTGAAAGCATGCTTCTCTCTCCTTTGTTAAACATTTTGAGTGATATACTCTTTGTGAGATCAGTGTATTTTCGCGTTTTAAAATAAATATTAATCTTTCGATAATCAAATATTACTTGGATCGACATTCCTTCTTATTATTCGCAGATAATAGATCGCAAAATTCAGTTTTATTCGATATTTTCTCTAAAAAAAGAAAATTAAAAATTACAATTATTATTTTAATATATAATTACGCTATATGGCACAACATTAATTTTCTAACAATTGTCTAAAATAGAATTGTCGAAATTTAATTTGACTTTAAAATATATCAGCTGATAAAATTAAAAATTACAATTATTATTTTAATATATAATTACGCTATTTGGCATAACATTAATTTTTTAACAATTGTCTAAAATAGAATCGTCGAAGAAATTAAATTTGACTTTAAAATATGTCAGCTGATACGCAAAACGGCTAAAAATATATAGCCGAAATAGCCATAGTCTCTCACGAGGAGGGAGAAAGAATATGCGCTACCAGGGGTTAACGACACGAAAGTGGGAAAAGTACAAGGGTGTACGAAGCTGACGTTTAACAACGTGAGACCAATTTTTAACGCACAAACATGCGCAACGGATACATATCGTAGAGATACATGTACAGTTGCAGCTAAAGACGCTGCAAAGACGTTTGTTTCTAGGGTGTACGTATACAATCATATATGTACGAATAAGAGAAAATATTTCTTGGAGTTTCTCCTGGTAGCGACAGACTCCCCCCGATACTTTCGCCTAGCATGTAACGATCGAATACACCGTTACCGGACATCGACTCTGAAGAAGTGCGCAATATATAGTCTACCAGCAAATGCGACACATTACATACTTACTCATCGCGAATATATTTCCTTGCCGATAGACAGGGTTGACTAATCATATTCAGTCCACAGAGCGCCATTCTACTACTAGTTAGATGACCAGTGTTGTGCTTACAATTAGATGATTTTTAAATTAGCTAGATGAAGATGAGATGAAAATATGTCAATTCATCGTAGATACGATGAAGATGATTTTGCTTTAAATTTATCTAGATAAAATCGAAAATTATACAATTAATTTAGATAATTTCTAGATAATATGATTTTTAAGACCGTTTATGTAAACGCAGGTAAAAAAAGATGTAAAAAATGTAAATTATAAAAAAAATATAAAAATGTATTCATATTTTTATTTCGAAGTTTTTATCGCTTATTGTTTGTTCTACTACTTAAGTTTCAGTATATTTTTGTGTGCTATGACTTTAAACCAAATTATCTGAACATTATTCTAGATCATTTATAAAGATAACACTTTTTTCATCTAAGATGCAGATATATATAATACATAGTTTTATTATCTATATAAAAATTAGATGACGTCAAAGTTTTATCTAGATGATCATCTATATAATTTTATTTAGATAACAGCAAACACTGTAAATTACTTGATTTCATGAGTGTTGATTTCATGTATTCCATGATAAGTGCTATATATTAATCGATCTGTTTAATATAATGTTAACGTACACGGAGAGAATTTTATAAGAGTTTCTCTGATTAATATTTACCACAATAAAAAATATTAATATGTACATAGTTAATTTTAAGGAATAAAATTCTTCCAATACCATATTGTCTCACGATTACCATGATTTTCAGGGTAAATTCTAAGAGAAAATTCTCTCTGTGTTTCCCAGAATTTCCTTAAAGTCACTTTAAACGATCTATAATTTACGACAAAATTCTGGAGTAAAATTTTAATTATCATGTTGTACATCGAATAACGCGTAAGAAAAACATCTGAAGAAGAGAGAAAAATATGCATACATGCATACGAAACAGAATACACATACAATTAAATTAAGAGGTTTAATCAGTTTGTGTTAATGCTGTTTTGTATCTGATTGTTACATCATGTCATGTCTAATTCTCGATTGCATAAGCTCGTGGTGCGATTCATGAAAACCGAATGAATAAATTCATGAACAATACATAAACATATTTTTATCTTTGCTTCTTCGAATTTTCGATCTACACCGGCAGGAAGTTCGTGGAAGTTTCCCGCGTGCGCGTGAACGATGCGTGAAAAAGCGTATATTGATTTATAAAGCAAAAACAGCTTCAGATATAAGAGGTAAGATAAGGAAAGATGGAAAGATCCGATAATGTCTTGTTCAACGTATGCGATGCATCGTGGTCACGTGGATCTATGTTTTTGTACACGTGATTTTATATATATGTAATTTTATATGCAGTTATATATATATATATATATATATGCAATTTTACAGCATATATTTTTTAATTCGTTCTGCGAAAATTTTATTCCGATCATAAGTTTCTCTTTCTATTCGCGATTCTGCATCCGCGTTATTCACTGATGCGGTGCGAGTTTCATTGAAATTTTCGTCATTTAGTAGATTAACATTTGCCCGACTTTTAACTTTTCACTTGCGAAACGAAGCGAAATCGCTCGATATTTTTCAATATAGCGTTATCAATTCGACGATATCAACGTCGAGATTTCTACGTCATCACGCAAACGCAACAGGATGTTTTGCAATATTTTCTCCTATCATTTCTTCGCCGATTTCAATCCGAGATTTACATAAATCAAGTATAAGTTTCAAATTTAACGAATTAATTCTATTTTTTTTAATTAAAAAAACTTCGAATTACATCTCATTCATTTACATTTGCTTCATTGACATTTTCGATCGCATGTAAGTCGCGTTCCCACAGATATCTCGAATCCGTCTCATGTTTAATGTGCACATATGCATATATTCGTCTCTGACATCAAGATATGAAACAAACCAATCTTGCAATCTTACATGTGGCTTGTAGCTACAATCCCGC